TTAGTCCATCAGGGGAGTGATCTTGGAGCGGTGACTACTTTACAACACACAAGGACCATGGGGAAGAAAAGTAGCCACCCTCCAGAAGGAAGGACAGGGTCAGCATCAATTCAGAGATGATTTGAGGATCTACAGCTGAGTGATACATGCATAAGATACATTTTTGATAATAGTTAAAAAGGTACTTGAATGCATCTTTAAGATTTAAAGGAGAACTATGAGGCGAGTGATTTCCACTCATCCTCATAGTTTGCGTCGATGTGTGACAATGAACTTGTCACACGTCGACTCTATAGATCGGGAAGTGAGTGAACACATACCGTCGCTCCCCACAGGGATCCCCCCACCGTCTCCGATCCTGCAGCGCTGACTAGAGGGACGGACGGGGGAGGGCACAGCTGGCTCTGCCTCTAGATAGGCAGAGCCCGCTGTCAATCAGCCAGCTGGGTGGATATGAAACAGTATTGCAAAAGCCCCCTCTATATACTGAGCTTTGGGACACAGGAGGAGGTTAGTATATATGTCCTCCCGTGACCCTGAAGAGAACTATGGGATAAAAAAGGTTACCCCATAGTTCCCTTTTAACTCTTGAGTTTAGCGTTGCTTTAAGTATGGGAGTCTCAGGGCTTTTCTTTTTCTGGAGTTAATAATCTGCACAATTGTGGTATAACATGTACAGATATCTGTGAGGGGGGGGTCTTATTACAGCTACATCATTTCTAAACCTATATACTGATTCTATATTACCCACCCCACAAGTGGAGAGCAGAATGTTCTTAAATAGATTTTATGAGAAAGTTTTAACTTTTGATTTGATTGTATACTACAACCTTTTCCTGCTTTGGGTTTATTAGAAGTTCATATATACATTTTTTAGAGTTTTTTTTAATTTCTGCATGCATTTGGAAATGCAACACCTTCAAGCTGCATGGTAAAAGACATTTAAACACAGAATATGAATCTTTAAATAAAATGCTTATCGTTTACAAACACAAATACAGTCGGTAGTAAAATTTAACTAAATATTTATTTTTGTTAAAAATGGCTTCTAATGATATAGTGCAATCACTTGAAATAAAATTAGAAGCAGTGAATATAAAAGCTCTATTTTCTAAATGTGGGCATGGAAACAAGATGTCAGCAGTATCAGCAAAACTTTTACTGTAAAAAATTTATAGTTGCTATATTCCATGGGGATTATTGGGTAAACATGCAACTTGCTTACAGAAAGACATTAACATTTACTTATTAGTTCAGAGCTACAGTCCAGTTCGCCTTCTAGAAAATATTAAATATTCAGTAATATAATTTACTTACTTTTCACTACTGCCTAAATATTAACAACACAAAACCTTGGTGTTAAGTTATTGCACAGATATAAGTGAAACAGACGCCATTAGGGTGCATTCACACCTACGCATTTACAAATGTTTCCCATAGAACACATTTGTATAGATTTTTAATTCTTTGTATCTGTAATGTGTTTAACAGATTATATGTTTGCATTGCAATGGTGCGGAGTTTGGAGTTGTGTTCCTTCTTTGATGCCACCATAATGTTTTTATTTTTATTTAAAAGTGTTTGAAATGTGTTTCCTCACAGTACAATCTATTTCTATTGAACACCCCTTTTTGAAGCAAAGCACACTTCAAATACTGTTAATTCCATTTTTCCAAACCACACAGCACAATAAAAAAAAACCCCCAAAAAACCACAGGCATAAGAAAGCGGTTCTATTCAAAAGAACAGCATGATTACTCCTATTGTAAAACTACACAGGTCTGAATGCACCCTTAAGGTCTACTAGTAACTGTGGTTATAAAGGAATAAAATTAGTTTATTGTAAAGTTCACAGAATTAAGATAAAACACAAATTGTTAATTCCGTCACTGTAACATTTCCCATTTTACATAGGTATGAAGTTCACAGAGAAGGTTTTTTTGCCGTTATTACAAGGAACAAACTGAAAAGGTTTCTATGAAGTTCTACAGATAACAGGGTGTTATAAATGATAATAAATCAGTTTATTGGAAAGTTCACAGATTGATTAAACACAAAATGTTCCTTTTCTTGACTCTAACATCTCCTATTAACATGAAATATGAAGGTTCGTAGAAAAGGAGGTTATCTATAGGACTACAGTAGGAGTGGCCTATAGGAGCCTACAGCCACCAAAGATGTATTTCCTATGAGCACACATTTTTGCAGCATCAGTTTGTTTGTGTATAAATATATAAAATATAGATATTTTGGAAAGGAGAGTTTATTTTGCTTTACATCTGTACACTTAGGAATGGAATGTATAAAGAGAAATCGCACGCTACTGTAACTCCATCAGCATTCTTTTAAAACATGCCACCGTTGGCTCAGGTCAGTGTGGCCGGTCAACAATTCGATCCCGGAGGAACCACTAAAGCAAGGTCATTCAGATATTGCAGACCAATAGGTAGACCCTGGAACTTGCAGGTTATACATCTTTCCAACATACCTGCTGCATCATTATCATCTGCATAGGAAAAGCTCAGAAAGAAAAATGGTTTTCTTTGATCTTTTCCTTTTTAGATCACAGAGATGTGGATGAATGAGTCTGTTATGTCCAAAGTCTTGGCAACAAACTACAACCCACAGGTTTGTATTTGAAGCAGATGTAGAAGTATGCAGATGTGGGATTCTCTAGGACTTCTTGGTTGCAGGCCTGCTGGCTGGTCATAGGCTTTTAACAGTGCCCTCACAGCAGGTCATTATGCTCCTATATTTCCACAAGGGGCAGAGGACATCAATGCACTGAACAATGTAGCCCCCTCTCGGTCCCACCTTGAATTCTTCCTTCTCATTTGACAGACAGCAGCATTTAGTAAAACAAAAAGAACTGATAAAATAGCAAGGTAAATGGAGGATAAAACCTCTATTACACATCCAGTTCCTGCCAAAGATGAATGTGGTTCCTGCAGAGAACTTCCTGTGAGGCAATTACATCACTTCAGTCATACAGTAGTAACACCTTACCACTGCTAACTTGAGAAACCAGCCAAAAATTTGCACAGTGGGTGCCACTATCGGCACCTTTTCCGCCAACATCCCTCGATCAGCTGATTGAAGAAGTGTGTGTGTGTGTGTGTGTGTGTAATCAGCTTTATTTTTTTCGTTCAGCGTGCGGGTTGAAGAAAAAATAATAGAGCAGTGTATGGCCAGCTTAACACTCTACAAGATGGCATATGGGAACCACAAAGCTCTTAATTTGCAATTTCAGAGTGTTTTCATTTAAAAAGTATTACATTTGCCTCTGATTTAAATAAATTTGCAGCAAGTCTCTGAGCTATAAGCATGCTAAAAGTACACAGGCATCATGAGGTCTCCTATTGCGGTAGTCCATACTCCACCTTCAGATGCGCTACTTGAGAAGGCTTAAGTCACTGTGTAGACTTTACTACCACTTTCCTAAATAGATCATAAACGGTTTCCAACCAGAAAACTCAAAGTCACAGTACCCTTCTGTAGACACTCTTAA